GGGGGGGGGGGGGGGGGGGACCTCTGGAAGAGCCAGAGGACATGCTGAGAATAAAAGGAAGTCCCCAAAGCCAGCAGGGACATAGCTGCTAGGTTACAGGTAACTCTTACCCAGTTCTTGTGGACAGGGACCCAGAGCAGGGGAGGGGAGCACAGTTGGGGCCCAGCTCAGGTGCTTTCTTCTTGCAGGGACTTGCCATGTTCCGCAGGCTGGCCTGGCTGGTCCCGTACAGCCTTGCTGTGCTGCTGCTCAGCTGCCTGCTCTTCCTGAAGAAGGAGGCCAAGCTGGTGGGGAGCCCCACGACCTGCCAGCCCTTTTGGGCTCCCCCAAGGCCCCACCACAGCCAGTGTCAACCCAACCACACAGTGGCCAATGCCTCCCTGTCCCTGCCTAGCCGTCACCACCTCTTTTTGACCTATCGCCACTGCCGAAACTTCTCCATCTTGCTGGAGCCTTCAGGCTGTGCCAAGGACACCTTCCTGCTCCTGGCCATCAAGTCACAGCCTGGTCATGTGGAGCAGCGTGCAGCCATCCGCAGCACGTGGGGTCGGCCAGGTGGCTGGGCTAGGGGCCGGCAGCTGAAGCTGGTGTTCCTCCTAGGGGTGGCAGGCCCTGTGCCCCCAGCCCAGCTGCTGGCCTATGAGAGCGGAGAGTTTGATGACATCCTACAGTGGGACTTTGCTGAGGACTTCTTCAACCTGACACTCAAAGAGCTGCACCTGCAGCGCTGGGTGGCAGCTGCCTGTTCCCAGGCCCACTTCATGCTAAAGGGAGATGATGATGTCTTTGTCCATGTTCCCAATGTGCTGGAGTTCCTGGATGGCTGGGACCCAGCCCAGGACCTCCTGGTAGGAGATGTCATCCGCCAGGCCCTACCCAACAGGAACACCAAGGTCAAATACTTCATCCCGCGCTCCATGTACAGGGCTCGCCACTACCCACCCTATGCTGGGGGTGGAGGATATGTCATGTCCAGAGCCACTGTGAGGCGCCTCCAAACAGCCATGGAAGAGGCTGAACTCTTCCCCATTGATGATGTCTTTGTGGGTATGTGCTTGAGGAAGCTGGGGGTGAACCCCACGCACCATGCTGGATTCAAAACATTTGGAATCCAGCAGCCCCTGAACCCCTTGGACCCCTGCCTGTACAGAGGGCTCCTGCTGGTGCACCGCCTCAGCCCCCTGGAGATGTGGACCATGTGGGCGCTGGTGACAGATGAGGGGCTCAAGTGTGCAGCTGCCCCCATGCCCCAGCTCTGAGGGGTGGGTGGAGCAACAGCCCTAGAGTGGACACAGTGTTGATTTTCTATCATGAGAAACAGAACCTTGAAAATTGATCCTTGTTGGTCTACAGGAAATGCTGACTTCGTTTTTGTAATCCCCTCCCCTCCCATCATGTTAATTCTGATTAAAAACATTGAAACCTGCTACCTTGTCCAGCATGTGTTGAATGGGAGCCAATGCATAGCAAATGCTGCTAGAAATCTATGGGGGGATTCTTGGAGCCCCTTGGGACTCTACCAGTCTGGGGGGGTGAAGGAGGGAGGCTGCATAAGGCACCAGAAGACACATACAACGCTTTTTTTTTTAAAATGCAAAAGAAATTATTCTCCTTTGGATACAATAGAGAAACTCAAAGAAGAAAATGAGAGGCATGTGTTAGAATAAGTCCTGTTGAGAGCACCAGGTAAACACTCTGTATTCATTCCCTCAATAATAATAGACTTTTGACTCCTTGGCCTAAGCTATACTTACAGGGCAGTGAATCCATATGAGAATGCATTAGAAACACTTAAAAATAAATCTTACAAATAGGACAGGCTCTCCTTTCCCCCCAAAACTCATATCCTTATGGAGGGAGAAAATAATCATATTTGAAAATATGAGTAAGATTGAAAACTAAGGTTAAATAGCTACTGAACTTAAGGGCATGACACAAAGGGACCCCCTCTATCTGGGCAAGGTTGGTGAAATGCTTTGGGTGTGAGGTAAAACGATTGAAAACTAAGGTTAAATAGCTACTGAACTTAAGGGCATGACACAAAGGGACCCCCTCTCTCTGGGCAAGGTTGGTGAAATGCTTTGGGTGTGAGGTAAAAAGATCAGTGAGTGAGAGCAGTAGTGCTGAGTGGGGTGAAATGTTAAACAGGGTAC